AATTTTGTTTTTTTTTTGCTGTAATATATATATATATATATATATATATATATATATGCAATAACTTTTAAATGTACACATGCTCTATCTCTGATATTGAGCACTTTTACTCATAAATATAACATACCATAAACTATATTACTATATATATATATATATATATATATATATTATTACTAAACTTATCTTTTGTCTAGTAGAAAGCCATAACATTAGGACATCCAATAAAGATACAAGTCACTCAATTATTAAAGATCTATAAAACTTGCTTGATTACCATTGCTTCATACAAAGGTGCTCATTGATATTTACTCAAGTTACCTTTGCATGAGACCACAACAGTGCACTACTACTAATAATTTCCAATATTAGCTTACTTGTTGAGGTCCTTGTATATATATGCATACATGAGATATATATATATATATATATATATATATATATATATATATATTGATTCATACCAAGTTTTGAAAGAGAGAGAGTAACTAATAAGAAAGAGTTTCCTATAAATGGCAGGTCAAATTATGTTAATAACCATTGCACTATGCCAAGTGCTCTATAATATATATATATATATATATATATATATATATATATATATATATATATATATATATCATTATTATTATATGATAGCTCTTGTTACTTTTGGGCCTGGTTGATTGTAAGTTTTCTGGCATTCGAAAGGAAATAGAAAGAAAGGCAGGAGCTACTAAATATTGGATTATACAGTCTTTTTGTAAACTTAACACACAAAATGGGATCTACTATGTTTGTGTGTTTTCTAGAGGTAAGCAACAGCTGCTGGTAATATAACTACTAATACTGCTGCTGAATATCTTCGTTTGGTTTTAAAATTATTTTATAAAAAATTGTCAGAAAAATAAATTTCACAAGTTGAATATACTTTTTGGTTGCAATATAAATTTATATAAATTAACCCAATGCAAATAACCCTATCATTTTTTTTATGAATAATATATATATATATATATATATATATATATATATATATATATATATATATATATATATATAATTAGTTTTCTATTGCAGAACTCATGCCTTCCCCAAGTTTGTAACACAAGTTTGTAATCGGCCTTACCCTGGTACATGACATATTAACAGGGGATTTGAATTTAAATTTGTCTTTCTCCTAATCTTTTTGCTCTACCAAGGCTATAGATGTCCTAGTCTACACTACTATTTTTACTTATAGCTGTGAGTAGAAAACATAATTTTATGCCTCCCCCAAGAGCATCAGTCTGAATTGAATGAATGTCTTGACTGGAAATTTAAATCAGTCTGCCAATTCTGTTTTCTCTGTCTATAATCGTTACACCATCTGCCCCCTAACACACACACACATATGAATGTAATTGTGGATGTCTTTCTGTCTGTCAGGTTCTTGTTTCAGTCAATGAATATAATCAAAGTTTAAAAGACAGTTTGTTTTTTGTTCTTTATTCATTTGCCCTTTTCCTTGACTTTGTCTTCAGATTTTCTGTACAGACATGTTTTCTCAAAACTTGCCAACTATGTACAGCTATATCAAGTGACACAAGAAACATTTGATGTTCAGATTCATTTGAAAAGAATAGACATACACATTTATCAATATATTTGTCAAAAGTTTCATATGCGTACACATGACTTTAAAAAGTTTAGTAACTCTGAAGCCATTTTACTTAAAATTTTTCTCACAGAAAATGTCTTCAAATATTGACATATGAACAAGGCAGCAGAAATGTGATGTTTTGAGATGGAGTTAGTTTGTGTCAATCTCAGGGAATAAATATTTAATTGTGTAAATACAGAATATGTGCCACAATAGCCAAAATGCAGAAGGCTGGTCATCAATCTGTCTTATCGTTAATCTAGCTAGACTCAATTACTGACCCATCCATTCAAATATTCTCACTTTCAGAAAAATAACTAATTTACGCAACACAATTGTATGCAGTCACCATAATACATTTACTCTATACGATCCATACTCTAAATATAGCAGCGATGACAGTTTACTTCCGAATTAATATAGTTCAACTCAGATGTACATATAAACACTCACACAGTCATTCTCACATTTAGACACCTTAGCAAATACAAAACTCACACTCTCAAAATAAAAGCCCATCTCACAACAACCAGAGGACCAAAATCTTTGTTACTTAATGGAGAGGGAAGGAAATTAAACTGAACATAAAGAAGGTAATAATAAAAGGGCTGATGATCTTTCATACTCTAGATAAGTTAAACTTTCAAAGTCTTAACTAAAGTAAACTACCAAAACTACCTTACCCAACTGAGTTAATATAAGTGTTTGGCTTTGTTGATATCTGAAGACACTAGAAAATGTTTTATTTCTCAGCTTTAAAAGTAAACATAACTTTCAATATGAAACCAACATACCATCCATCAATCTGATTAACATTATTGGATATTAAAAATTATTAATGCAGATGTTATCAAACCTGGATTTTATTAGCAGATACTGATTTTGTGGCTATAATGTATACAGTGAATTAGCAAATCAATAGTAATGGCTTGGTTTTTTCTCTCTTACAAGAGTTCATTTAATTTATTGCCTCTGAAAGAACTGATGAAATCAGCTCACTCTATTTGCTTGGTTTCTAAATAATAAATAAATCTTGGTCATAAAAACTGAATCAGAATATTGCATTACTATTAAAAGGTTCATATATCATGAAACCAGAAAGAGGAAAATTGCTCAACCTTCCAAATCAGTTCTCAATGTGCGATCATGATTAAATGTTTCATATATGTAGCTTAAATTTTTTTTTAATCATTTGACTCACCAAACTCAAGGCAATAAAGCCACTAAGACACAAAGGGTTACTGAGTGTGAAAGAATATGAGAAAAAATAAGAACACTATTAAGGAGCAAGAACAATAAAAGAAAAGAAATTAAGAAGACAGAAGATAACGATTGACATTGCATTTAAATTTATAAGATCAAAATTGACTGGAAAGCAAGAAACCAGAAGAGAGTTCCACGAGCAAGAAGTATGAGAGAAGAAACTATTAACATAAAACCTATGGTTATATCTAGCCGCCATTTCAACTGTGAAATGATGCAACCTCGCTGTCAGTTTAGTAACGATGCTTAAATTCATAAAGTCTAGGTACCAAAGAGGAAAGCTCATCTACATTGGCATTTTGCTGAGAGATAATTGTAAACAAGCTAATCTCACAAGATTAATCTAATCTACAATAGTGTAGTCAACCCTCATAGGGTGCCCAAACTTGTGGCATTAAGCTGTAAATTCAACTTAGCAAATGTTATTAATCTAATCTACAATAGTGTAGTCAACCCTCATAGGGTGCCCAAACTTGTGGCATTAAGCTGTAAATTCAACTTAGCAAATGTTATTAATCTAATCTACAATAAATCAACCCTCATAATCCCAAAATTGTGTTAAGTCAAAATTCAACTTAGCAAATGTTATTAATCTAATCTACAATAGTGTAGTCAACCCTCATAGGGTGCCCAAACTTGTGGCATTATTGTGTAAATTCAACTTAGCAAATGTTATTAATCTAATCTACAATAGTGTAGTCAACCCTCATAGGGTGCCCAAACTTGTGGCATTAAGCTGTAAATTCAACTTAGCAAATGTTATTAATCTAATCTACAATAGTGTAGTCAACCCTCATAGGGTGCCCAAACTTGTGGCATTAAGCTGTAAATTCAACTTAGCAAATGTTATTAATCTAATCTACAATAGTGTAGTCAACCCTCATAGGGTGCCCAAACTTGTGGCATTAAGCTGTAAATTCAACTTAGCAAATGTTATTAATCATAATTATAACATTAAACTTGGTGGTATTTCATTCTTACTTTATTTTTTCATTCTACACTTCAAAAACATCTTTGATTTGTCAACTTAGGATGCTACTGAGTTTATATATCTTCTTCGTAGAATAAAGAAAATCTTATTCAAATTTGAGTTCCTTATAAGAGATCAAGAATTTGAAGCCTATTTTTTTAAAGTTAATATTTTTTCCGTTTTTCATTTCACTACAAGCAAGGCAATAAAGCCATTAAGACACAAGGGGTTACTGAGTGCAAGAGAATATGGGAAAAAACATTATAAAGGAGAGAAAACAATAAGAGAACAGGAATTAAAAAGATAGAAAATAACAATTGACATTGTATTTAAATTTTTGAAGATCAAAGTTGACTGGAAAACAAGAAGGTGGAAAAGAGTTCCATACAAAAGAAGTGTGATAGAGAAAATTGTTAACATAGAACTTTAGGTACAATAGAGGAAAGTAATATTTATTTTGAATAATGCAAAAATGTGATACAAGGTCAAAAGGTGGAATAGGAGAGACTGTTCTTCAATCATGTCTTATCTTAAACTTAGCTAGTCATGATTACTGACCCAAACATAATACAGTATTCCTTACACCAAAACAACACATTCTTACTTACCATTCTTACTACAGCTACCATAATATCTCAATAGAGAAAAGTTGATCAGAACAATTACCATGAAAGTATTTCTAGTAAAACCACAGGGGAACTATGTTACAGGGACAGTAACTGAAGTTTTTAATCCATTTCATGTTAATAAGATTTTGGTTTCTCAAGGGTCAGTGTAGGGTAAATTCTCTGAAAAAAATAAACAGCTTAATTCCAAAGTTTATTTGTGACCACAAGATCTGTAAGCTTTGTTAATGACAATGTTATTATTAAGTCAATAAAATTAAATAGTGCAAATAAAAGTAAATAGTACAAATAAAAATAAATAGTACAAAACAACATCTAAATGCAATGTATATTTTTGATTAGGCCAATGATCATATTGACCTAAATGAGATAAAGACAATCAGGATAAAGATAATTTCCCAAATTATTGTGTGTAAATGAATGCATTATAATTAAAAAATCTCATTGGAAATATTTGGATTATAATATATAATAGACTTATTTTATAAAAAAAAATAAAATCATTTATTTTCTCTTACAGACTTGTTGAAGAGGTTGATGAAATCCGTGACACATTGGAAACTTTACAGAAGAAACTACGCCAAGCAGAAAATTCTTTGCAAGAATTACTCTGTCTGAAGACCAAATTGGAAGAGGAGTTGGCTGTCAAAAACAATTCCTTGTTCATTGACCGAGAAAAGTGTTTGGCAATGAGGAAAACCTTTCCAATGGCACCAATCTGTGGTGTACGCATCAACACCTCATCAGAAATTACTTTAAATCACTAAACAAGTCTCCAAGAATGGGATACAAAAGTAATTCTGGAGAACTTACTGAAGATAATTAGAAAGCTGATTATCAAGAAATACAAAAGAAATTTCTTTCTTTTTATTTCATGAGAAAGAAAATTATTTTGAATTTTTAAAATTCTTGTTAGTATCTGATTCTCTTCAAGTTTGTTTCTTTAATTCACTTAAATTTCTATAACCCCCTAGCAAAAATTATAGTTATATATCATGGATGGACCATCTGGGTAGGCATGGTAGGCAGTGTGTACCATAAATAAAATTATAAAAATTAAGTATTAAATATAAAAAGTAAGATATGGCCAATTCATTATAGATTTGTAAATTAATGAACTAAATTAATGCATAATTCAGTAAACGGTTATTATTTTCATTTTGTTTTTTAACCTTAGTATATATTTGTCTATTCTATAGACTTGGATTCTGCTACAAGCAATATCTGATAATAGATGATAAAAACAGCAGAAATTCTACCTTTCAGAGAATTGTGCACTTAAGTTAGATATAAAAAAGTAAATATCCTCTTGAATTTTAACTATGATTTTTTTCTTATATAAAAACTTGAACAAAAATTTAATAAAGTTTCTCTTCCCTGTATTATCAGAAAATACCTTAAAATGCTGAAGTGACAATGGACATGATATTAATAGTGGTTATCTTATAAGGAAACATTCATGGCTTCTGCTCAGTATTTATTTTATGAAAATCAACCAATTGCTTTATTTGAGTAATTAATCATGGCACATACCTTATATATATATATAGAATTGCAGCATTCAAAACATTAATTTAAAACAGGGCTCAATACAAGAGGAGAGCAATAAATGTTTATTATACACAGTTATATTAGAACATGTAAGTAAGCACTACAAAATTGTACATTTTGTTTTGAAGTTAATAAACAACATCTCATCAGGTAGTTAACAATGATGGTAACTACATCATTGTTAACTACCTGATGAGATGTTGTTTATTAACATCAAAACAAAATGTACAATTATGTAGTTACTTACATGTTCTAATGTAACAGTATATAATATATCTATCTAGCTCTCTCTCTCTCTCTCTCTATATATATATATATATATATATATATATATATATAGTATATATATATATATATATATATATATATATATATATATATATCATACACACACACAGATATATATACATACACACATATATATATATATATATGGCCATAAATATATATTTTTAAGGTATGCTATATTTATAAGTTAAAATTCTCAATATCAGGAATAGAGTGTAAGTAAATATAAAAGTGGATATTGAGGTTAACACCCAGCAGTGACACTCTATTTCCTGCTTAAATGCAATTATCAGGCCTGGTGATTGCATTTAAACATGAAACACTGTCATCAGTGGGTATCAACCTCAATGTCAATTTTCTTATATATATATATATATATAGATAGATAGATAGATAGATATTTCTTATATATTTTTTAATGTCTTTTATTCAATTTACATATAAGGGCACAATAAAGTTTTGGGGAAATTGCAAAATTATAGGTTGTTCCTGTAACTTTCATTAGTGCTTGATATTGAAGTATTGACTTTATGGTGGTTCTTCATGTTAATTAAATAAAACTCATAAAATATACACAAAGAATATTGTTGTCAACAACTTATATATGATAAATAAATGAAATATCCAACCAAATTATGTAAGATGGAATATGTGAAAACCAGTTGAATGGATAAATTCTTTATTCTCTTGCTAACATTTGGCTCCTCCTGTACAGACATTATCAATTATTTTCCAGTTTGTTTTTTTTTTTATAATACTCACATGAGACAAAGAAATAAAAAATTTAAACAATCATCTGGTTTTTACATATTACATCTTATGCATGTGTTTACATGAATACACAAAATTATTCCATATATATATATCAAATATCTATGTAATACACATACAAGTTGTTACCTAAACATTTGAACAGAGTGTGTAAATTAAATGTAGTACAAACTACTGCTGCTACTATTTGTGGGCAGTGCTTATTTGGAGCCCATTGTAAAACAGTTTGTGGAAACTAGGGTGCTAGACTAGCTGCCTTAATAGTTTTATTCATATATATATATATATATATATATATATATATATATATAGTATCATACATTGAGTGTTGGTGATAATAAAACATAGTTCAATGAATAGTAAGGGCTAAAATTTATATTAATAGTAAAATATCTATCTATCTATCTATCTATATATATATATATATATATATATATATATATATATATATATATAATGAAAAAACAGAATCCTTAAAAATCCATCAGGTCAGGTAATAATTTATTTTGTGAACCTCACATCCATCTTTTCAGGCCAGTTTTACATCAATAAATTGAGTTCAGTTTATTCAGACACAAGGAAAAGTAAAAATAAAATAAGAAGTAAAAAAAGAAGAAAAAAGAGAGAAGGAAGAAAAAGGGAAAAAGTTTTAATATTAAATGGGAGAACGAAGAAGGGGGAGAAAGACAGAAAATTCCCTAATAATATTAATTTTGTAGAATTTATACTTGAAGTGTTGAATTTTTTTGTATGTATATTGTGTGTATATATATATATATATATATATATATATATATATATATATAGTTAATAGAGAAATATATATATATATATAAGATTAATACAAATAAAATTTGTATGTGTGTGTGTGAGTGTGCGTACATTCATTATTATATTGTTATTTTTAACACATTCTCTCTCACATGTACACATATTTATCTATTGACATGGATATGCATACTTGCTATAAGGCAATGGTAAAGAAGCTCGTCATGCAGTACATTTACTTGTGTAGTAAGTTAAATCTTCACTGATTTCCCCATTATTGTGTCCTTGTGCCAGGCTAAACTTAGTAAATGCCTGTATGCTTGAATATGCACATATATATTTAGATATATATACATATACGCAAACAAGCATATATACAGACATAAACACAGACAAAAATTTACTGATTAGGATTTCTGCCACCATATGCCACCATCTTGTTGATGATATTTTTACAGTTGGATTTAATAGTATTTGAATTTCTAATGAATTTGAATTGAGTGTAGAGACAGCATTTTATGTCGTCACACTCAGATACTTTGGACACAAAATTTCTTTCACATATTTGTTTTCTATTTAAAAGTGTTTCTTTTTGAAGTGAGTTTTCTCCACCTTTGTTTGCTTTGAAGTAAATTTCCACCACCAGAGTGCAGCTGATATTTCAAATCAACCTTAATAAAAGTGTCACTATTTGTGGGACATCTCTTTATCGAAAATAAAGGTCCACATCAAACCTGAAAATAAATAAAGGTTTTTTTTTAGCATTTCTACTTTAGTTATAATCAATAAATCTCAAAAAGAATTTAAATTAGGTCTTCATTTCTGTTTCATGTATAATCCTGCCAACATGTATTCAAGTTTTATCAAAATAAATATTTTTTTGCATTAAGTTTGTAGAAGCTCTCTTGGTTGTTAAGAAATAATTAGAAAAATTATCCAACATTATACAAAATACGAGGAACAAATCAAGTGTCAGAGACATCTCAAAATGATTATCTGTTTCATGCTTGAACACAATTTTTAAGACTTGCATTGACCTCAGTGTCCACTTTCAGATATATATATATATATATATATATATATATATATATATATATATATATATATATATATATATTATTATTTATCTGAAAATCATAACATAAATATGTTATAAAAATCACTACAAAAATATCCATTTTGTTTCAACACTTCTGGTGTCTTATCAAGTGATGGTGTTGAATGTAGAATAAAGGGTTTATTCTACCATCACTTGATAAGACACCAGAAGTACTGAAACAAAATGGCTATTTTTGTAGTGATTTTCTAAATATAAAGTTATATTATAATTTTAAATAAATAATTATATCTGCTCTACTTTGTATTGTGCACTCTTTTAAAGAATAGTATTTGTTGGTTATTGGAATTTATTCCATATACACCAATCTATACTTATATATTTATATTTATATATATATATATATATATATATATATATATATATATTTGTAATCAAATATGGATTAGGATGACAGAATGATAGGATAAGGAACAAATGGGAAACATTTATAAATTTGGTGTGATTCACTTTTATTTATTTATTTGATTTCTTATGAAGCTTAAATAAAAGCAAAACATGTAAAATTTATAATTGTTCCTATTTTTTCTTATTCTATCATATATATTTTTTCATTGAAGAAAAAATATATATAAAAGTAACTGAAGGACCTGGAAACAAAGAAAATATGCACACAAAACATGCTTTACAAATAGTAAATATGCAAATGACACAAAACTTTCTAAACATATCTGGGAGATTAAAAAAACAAACAAATCACACCAAAAATATCATGGAAAATAAGGAAAAGAACATCAGCCTACAATGATCAATTCAAAAACTGTAAACTGCCTGTAAGAAAATTAGCTATAATTACCTTCCCAGAAGAAAACAAATTTCTAAATAAACAATCAGAACTCATCTCAAAATGCAAACAAAAAAACAAATTTTTACTACGTTACTTAAAAATCAAAAACTTAATGAAAAAGAATAAATGAAAATGAATAAATAAATAGACAAAAGCAAGCAAAATAAATTAATCCAAACATATAAATAAATAAATTAAGTAAATAATAAACAAATTAACAAACCTTGTAAACACAAGAAAACATAGTAATTACAACCAGCAATAAAATAATTAATAATAAATAAAAAAGTTAGCAACATTATAAATAGCTCCACAAAATACATTCAAATCCACAATTATTCCCAGTCAATAGCCTCAGAATAATTTGAATGACAACGATTAACACCAACCAAAACATCTGTTAACCGACTACCCATAATGCATCACTAATCTGTATATATAAAAAGTCAATCAAAAACACAACACTCATGGCCTGATGATTGTGT